AAAAAAAAAAAAAAAAAAAAAAAAAAAAAAAACCAACTATACAATGCAAGATACTAAGTGGTGTCTAAGTGTCTAACCTCCCTTGATGATTTAAAAAAAAGAAAAAGAAAAACCGGGTCTTGAGTACCGCCTAAGGCCGTAGGCCGAGGGTAGTACTCCAGACAGAGGGCACAGTTTTTCCCATTACGGACCGACCTTGGCTGATGAACAACATTTTTATTTTTTTCCTTAAACTTACCTAAATTCTTTCACACAAATTGCTTTAATGCGGCTTTTTCTCATTGAGTTCCTTCAGTTTCTGTTGTGCAATTAACAGTACAAATGACTTAATTGAACGGACTTCGAAGGACTCACCGAAAGCGTATTTGTAATAGAATTAAAAACTTCGCTCGCCCTCTCACTACGAACAAATTATTTGAGAGATTCAGATATTAAATGAATGAAAGTTGCATCGATTAATTCCCTTGTAACCAAATACCTCACGTTTTAACTTTCTAGGTTTTTTTTAGTGAAGGATTAAAATTAGTTACAAACGGTTTTTAGGCCGCTTGTCAACCAATTTAATGACACTTCTGCCTATTCAAATTTATATCGAAACCTGTATTTTTCTGTCAACCAAAGTGATTTGAGAGAGAGGAAAGAGAGGATTAAAAGGTTATTTATCGGCTTAAAAATACTGCCCAGCCAGAAAAACGAGATATTTTTATGAAAAATGGCATCGAAGGTAGGGATGTACTGGGCGACTCACGAAAGCGTTATCGTGCCCGTGGGCAGAGATAGGAAAATACGAACCGCGCTAAGAACCACCAATCAGATTGCAGGATTCGTTACCGTGCCCTCGAAGAAAAAAAAGAAACGATTTTCATATATTCACAGTCATTTCATAATAAAATTAATCACGCCTTGGTCACCCGCGTTTTTCCGCACCTCAGACTTGTTGTTACACTGAACACTCATTGGCTCTATGTGATATTTTCAATTGCTCTGATTGGCTAGTGTGGATAACGCTGACAAAGGGATGGATTGAAATTAAGAGATCCTCGCAGCTAAGAACACTACTGAAACGAGTAGTTGAAAATAGGACCTGAAAAAAAAAAAATTCAGGCCCGTACCGGATTTGAACCCATGACCTCTGCGACACTGATGCAGCGCTATACCAACTGAGCTAACGAGCCAACGGTCCAATTAAATCATCCAAGTGATGAAAGATGATTTTAGATATATGAAATTCATATATTTGCACTGCGGTGAAGATTAAAAATTAAGAGATCCTCGCAGCTAAGAACACCACTGAAATGAGTAGTTCAAAATAGGACCTGGAAAAAATTCAGGCCCGTACGGGATTTGAACCCATAACCTTTGCGATACTGGTGCAGCGCTCTACCAACTGAGCTAACGTAGGGGCCTGAATTTTTTTTCAGGTCCTATTTTCAACTACTCGTTTCAGTAGGGTTCTTAGCTGCGAGGATCTCTTAATTTCGTTTCTTCACTGCAGTGCAAATGTATGAATTTCATATATCTAAAATCATCAAAGGGATGAATTGTTATCCACCGGATACAACTGCTAACAAAACCTGATACACTGTCTTCCGTATAAGGATTTATTCAGTGGATAGCATCATCTGCCGTTCGAACAACCGGAGATTGTAGCTGGTGATTAAATTTTTAATTGCCGGGGAACCGATCTTTTAGCGAAAATTTGCTCTCGCCTTTTTTCGTGGCAATGATTAACTGAAACCAATCTTTTGCTTTTCGATCAATTTTATATACTTTGAATTTTAATAAGTAATTACTTTCGTTCTCTGTTTTTCAATATCGCAATGAGCAACTGTCTAAATAGATCAAGTGTTGCCTGGTCGCTTGTCCTTCTTTTCTGTCACTTTCGAGCTCAAAAGAGCAGCAGTCTATCATTCTTGTTTGGGCAGAAACAATTCCGATTTTTGTATTGTGCAGCTCTGGCACAAGGGAATTCTGCTGATAAGTGGTGCTTTATCGAACATAACTTTCAAGAGCTTAATTTTCGAGCCCGTTTGGCACAGGACATCAGACCCACAAGGAACGAAGCGTAAGATTTCATTCGAGTCCTAAAAAAAATTGTTTGCACCGAGTCTGGCAGGAATCAATTGACGGACGGAATGAAGGCATCATCCTCTTTAAGTCTTGGGGTCGAAGGCAGCGATTCACCAAAGCCAAAAGTCAAAATGTTGAAAGCGAGAAAAATATTTTCAAGCTTAATACCCTCCGTTAAGTAAGTATTCATCGAAAGCGAAGTTTATAGCCAGATACGAGTCTTGCCGAAGAAAAATCGATTGAACACAGCGTGACGTCACGTACGTGTTTACACGCCTTCGGAGCCCGGAACCTAATTCCACTTAGTGCGAGCACAAAATTCAGGATTTGGATGAATGAATTGAATATTTTTCTGGCCCATGTGCCCGCATTTTGCCCAAGGTTAATGCAAGCATATTATGTACAGCCTTATAAAAGGCTATTTATCGAGGTAAGGAATTTTTAGTAGCCTTCTTTGAGTTACTATCCCGTTCCTGAGCGACTTCTGTTGACTAGGTTATGTTGTGGCTAAAATTTAGTAGTTAAGTATGTAGACAGGTAACTCTGTTCATCAATTTGAATTTCAATTATCTTTCTAGTTCGAACGTAGATGAGGAAGAACACGACTCAGTTTTTGCTGAGGAAGTTGTACGATCCCGCGAGCTCAAAGCAAAACGAACTACTTTTCGTTCGTCAAGAAGCAAATCCGAGAGCAGTGCTGTTTCTGGTGATTCAGCCGCTAGATATCTGTCGTGGGAGAATGTGTCATTCTTAGGACACGAGTTGAGGAAAACGGTTAGAAAGGGGTTTCACTGGTTGGCATACCCTTCACTTGGTGAGGACCATGAGAAGTAGTTGAATTGTCAATGCTGCAACCTGCGTCGCGAAGGTCTTCACTTGGAGAGCAGGCAATTTTTACGATTAGACAAAAATTCATTCAGATAACCGTTCGCGAAAGAATGATTTTATCTGTGCATTCTCAACTAAAATTTTTCGCATTTGCAGTCTTGTTCTCTAATTTAACATCTAGATATACTATTTTTTCCTAGCATGGTTCGAGA